ACGTCTCTAGCCGACCATTACCTCCATACGTGGACGTCTCTAGCCGACATTACCTCCATACGTGGACGTCTCTAGCCGACCATTACCTCCACACGTGGACGTCTCTAGCCGACCATTACTCCACACGTGGACGTCTCTAGCCAACCATTACCTCCATACGTGGACGTCTCTAGCCGACCATTACCTCCACACGTGGACGTCTAGCCAACCATTACCTCCACACGTGGGCGTCTCTAGCCGACCATTACCTCCACACGTGGGCGTCTCTAGCCGACCATTACCTCCACACGTGGACGTCTCTAGCCGACCATTACCTCCATACGTGGACGTCTCTAGCCGACCATTACCTCCACACGTGGACGTCTCTAGCCGACCATTACCTCCACACGTGGACGTCTCTAGCCGACCATTACCTCCATACGTGGACGTCTCTAGCCGACCATTACCTCCATACGTGGACGTCTCTAGCCGACCATTACCTCCACACGTGGGCGTCTCTAGCCGACCATTACCTCCACACGTGGACGTCTCTAGCCGACCATTACCTCCACACGTGGACGTCTCTAGCCGACCATTACCTCCACACGTGGACGTCTCTAGCCGACCATTACCTCCACACGTGGACGTCTCTAGCCGACCATCACCTCCATACGTGGGCGTCGTGGACGGTTTTAAAATGAGAAATGTTTAGTGACACTTGGGTTCCATGAACCCTGGCCGCCCGCCGCCGCCCACTGGGTCAACAGCATGTCATGGCTGGGGACCGCTCGCATTCTGACTGTTCGTCGTCCATGGGACCACCGCTAATAGGGCTGGCGCGTGACCGTGCACCGTGACAACGCCCGCGCCGTCGGCGCAGAGAATAAGACCGGTCTCGCCAACTGTGCCTGATGACCGTAGTCAGGCGAGTGTTCAAGCCTTGTTCCTGACCGCGCCCCACACGCTTATACTGCGCATGCGACATGTCCACAGGGTCGACAGCTCCACCGCTGACGTGCTTCCCCGCTTAAAGCTCGCGTGGTCCCGGGCACTGCGACCCGGGGCGGAGCACAGCCCCAGGCCACCTCCGCAGTGCTTCCCCGACGCCATCGCTCGCCTCGCGTGGTCCCGGGCGCTGCGACCCGAAGCGGAGCACAGCCCCAGGCCACCTCCGCAGTGCTTCCCCGACGCCATCGCTCGCCTCGCGTGGTCCCGGGTGCTGCGACCCGGAACGCAGCACAGCTCCAGGCCACTTCCGCGGGGCTTCCCCGACGTCTTCGCTCGCCCCCAGGTGACATGCGCGCCGAGCTCGAGAGATCCGCCCCAGACGAGGTGTATCGCTGGCTGGTTCGCGATGGTTTTGCGCCCGCTACCCGGCGCTCACACCGCCGCTGCTCAGGCACCTTCAGACGCTTCCGCACCGCACGCAGGCAGCGCGCGCTCCAGCGCCGGAGCGGCCGCTGCTTTGCTTGTCCGGGTATCTAAGGGTCTCTTTGATGCTGTCGCGACGAATCTGCCTTTGTCGTCCTCTTATCATTCATGTCGACTGACCAGTGGTGCGCAACCCCTAGTCGAGGATTAGCCAAGCCTACCACCGCGTTGTGGTTTTCCCCCATCGAAGGCCCGGCGGTGCATTCGCCATGCATGAATGTCCTCACCGGCATAACGGACCATACGGCTCTGTCTCGAATGTACATGACTTTTTAACGTCATTTCGGCTCAGGAGACTGCAAGGAGGTGCAGGAACAACTCGGTAGCATCCCGGGAAGTTGAGACACTGAAGCGTCAAACGGTGGGGAAGTACTGATGACTAACCGCGACATCGTCGGGAGCTTCACCACAGGCCGACGTCATTAAGCTTGACGATCATGCCTGCCAAACGTGAAGCCTTACATACACGGCCAAACACGACCTAGTAGGTCAGCTCACCTAGGGTCACTTCCATGTTATGCCGTGCATCCCGCATGGGGTTGGAGCTGTAAAATTGCGTTGCTATCTTCGCCATCTGTATGCCTCTTGGCTTTAGCATTCACGCGTGTGGCCCGAGACGCGGCTTTGCGTATGGTCTAGTATTGCATCTCGCCCTGATTTGCCGTTTTTCATAACGCGGACTAATGAGCGGGGGGGGGGGGGGGGAGTTCAATACGGCCCCTTTGTGTTTCCAAAGTAATAACGATAGAGCTTAGTAATAAACACCAGTGGATTGGCCTCAGATCTCGCGATTGGTAGTAGTTCTTATGGTTTATGTAGATGATTGTCCCTGTTATTCCAGGTTAACGGTCAACTTTACCGGCAAGTTGCACTTTTCAGCCTTACATCATGCATGCGACACTATGTCCCGAGGCGATACAAAACCGAGACAGGTACGTCCATCGTTCAATTTTGCGGACCATGGTGGATGTTATTGGGTGTTGCAAGCTTATATTTATGATAAATGATTCCTAAAGGGAATACTCCACTTCTGAAGACATTGAAGTGAACATCAGGTATGAAACAATCTCACTTATGACTTTTGGTATGCTTCTAAATGGAAAAGACTGCTCTGTACGAACGATTTATTTACTTAGTAGATCTACTACTTAATACATTATCGTTTGATCGCGTTGCCGTATCTTGCACGATACTGGGTGAGAGGCAACTGACGGCTCTTTGATCTGGAAATCGTGCTCACGAACAGCAGATATGGACGACTTAACAATGATAGCCTTCTTGGACTGAATCACCGCATGGCCAATGAAAAAACAGGACTTAAATTGCATAATTATGACGACATAGATGCCCGGGTGACCTTGAAAAGTATGCACGAAATCGACTGCACATGTTCACGGGCGCGGAGCTCAGAATCTAGAGGGATTTAGGTACTCCGAAGGGCAGGTCTGCAAACTGCACTGACTACAGCTATGCAAAGTTTGGCGCGGTTACGCCTCGCTGTTCGGAAATCATTCCGGAAAAACCTTGGGGGATAAAAACTGTGCACACAAAAACACACAAAAATTGTGCGTGGTCGAAGTTTTTAGAACTTAACCTCTTTGACCTCACCTAGGTCCCTGACCTTGGTGGATCAAAACTTCAAATATCACAAAGGACGTCAAATTGATGGATGAACAGGTACTGAAAATTTTGTGGTGCTACAATCGTTCGTTGCTGAGTTGTGCTCGAACAACGGCAGGAGGAAACCAGCCTCCTCCGGGTGGGCGCGGGTTACTGAAACAAATCGGCCCGCTGTGGGCGTTCCGCGGCACCGCCGGGTGCCGCCCGCCGCCCGCGCCGGCCGTAGATCCCCGCGCAGGGCTGCTCAAAAACCGCCGCTGCTCCGACACCAGAGAAGCTAAGAATGCGTTTTTGGTGCCAACACAAGCGCAATAGATGCCCCATAGGAACTTAAAATGTGGACGCGACTACACAATGTGCCGGAGCGGTATCCTCAAAAATGGTATGCTATCAGGGTGGAAGTTGAAGGTGGCCGCAGGCCGACCAATAGCATTGCTTCCTTACATGCTCCGGTCGAACGCATGTCCAGACTGCACTGTGTTCGAGGAGGGGAAGATGAATCGTTAGCCTCGCCTCGACCGACCAGGATCGGTATTCCATTTCTCAAGCGCTTGATACTAAATCATACCGATCCCTTCAGAGATGGCTATGACAGTCTGATACATTGCGTGTTGTCGTAAAAGGGTTTAACATACGTTTCTTTTTGGTGGCAATATGATCTTTAATGTCAACGCCCCCTAAAACCTCAAATCATTATCATTAATTCATCTCCGTATAAACTGCGGGGGTATACCCCGCCTTATGCAACCGAACACTGCAACAGTTTGTTGAGCACCTTCTCATTGGCAGATTTGAGCATGACAATGAAGGATGTAGGGAATACTTTACACATATACAAGCGCTGCGATTTAAGATGAGGTATGTGAATTACCCCAAGGCTGAATTGAAGGAGGGCAGAAACGGATGCATGGGAGTGCAAGTAGAATTTAACTAATTCTTTTCTCTCTTCAAAACAGTGCAGGTTTTTGCTTCAGCGGATGACATTAACTTGATATGCTTTACCAGCCTGTTTTATGCGATAGCCAGCGAGAAAGTATTGTTATGTGAGATTCCCAAAATCGGATCAATCTCCAGGCAACTTCTGGTCTGCTGCCAGCCACACCACATCGCGTTCACAATGCACGTAGGTGGGCAATGTGGCGCAGTCTGATCGTCTGAAGTCTCTCCACAGTCGACCACCATCAGGCGAAGGCCCGGCGGCAGAAGCCCATCGGCGCAGCCCCGACGGCAAAGGTCTGTCGGCTTAGGTCCGTCGGCAGCGGCGGGCGGCAGAGGCCCGTCGGCAGAGGCTCGCCGGCAGAAGCCCGTCGACAGCGGCGGGCGGCCAGCCCCGGGCCCGCCGTTCCGCCGCCGGGACGGGCCGGCGCTGATCGCTGCCGACAGGTACATGCCACTGCAGCAGCCGACGGCGCGAGCCGGGCCCGCCAGCCGCAGCGACGCCGACATCGTAACGAGCGCCGCCGACATCGCAGAAGCCGCACATCGGGCCCGCACGTTAGCTTCGCTCAGACGTGGAGCAGCGTTTTTAGGACGCGCGGCCCGACATGGGTCGACGGCTCCGACCTAGTTCCTGCATTATCCCGATGCCACAAACAATGAGAAAAACGCAGTGGCTGAGTTCCAAGACTTAAGCCGTCTCCCGGCCGGCCTGATTTATCCGCGGGTTTTCCCAGACCACACGGCTAATCCACACCTTATAAGTACTCTTAGAACGCCTGACCACGAATCCGACAGGCGAAATCAAACGCCCTATCGCAATCTGTGGACCGAATGCGCACGGCGATGCCCGCCTGACGCGCCGGCCGGTGTCCACAGTGCACGGTGCGCGATCTCGGGATGCGAGCCGGCGCTGCGTGACGGCCGCTATCGGCCAAGAGCCCGTTCAGCAACCCTGAACTCCCTGATACGCGGCAGACCAGATAGCGAGCCGCGACGACAGTCGACGCCGGCTGTCTCATCAAGACAGCTAGCAATCTTGAAAATGTATTACTTCGCGGGCGGCCCGCAGCCCGGGTTATCACAGATAAACGGTGAAGCGAAGCGCTTGTCAGCGGCCGTGGCAACCGATTCAACGCAACATCTACAACAGCATGAGGAGCGGGCAAAGTACAAGAAAGGAACGTGAAAATATCCGCACAACGCGGGACCCATCCTAGCCATCCGGCGCCTAGTTAGAGTGCTGCCGCCTCAGTTCCAGCGCGACCAACACAGGCACGACTCACAGCCGGGGCCGCGTGCCCCACCACAGCGCACAAGGAGGCGCCAGGCCGACAGGTTCGGCGTCTCCAGACCGCGCCGTCCACGCTCTCCGTGGCGCGTCAATCCCGGAGCCCAGCCCGGGCCGTAGTCCTACGTCATTTGGTCCACCCGTGATGCCATCAGATGATCGCCGAACGGCCGCTAAGCCCACAAAGGGCACCGGTCTCAGCTAATGCCGGACCTGCCGCCGCCGCCGAGCGCACCGGTCCCGGGGCCCGGCGCCGCCGCCGCCGCCGCACCGGTGATCGCATTCCTCTCCACACGGCAGGCAAACACGGCACCGGACGCCGGGAAAACAGGCGCGTGGGGCGCACAAGGACACGGCCAGCGCTCCGCGGTGAGCGGAGGCGGTGACGTGCGGACGGGCACGGCTCGCTGCCCAGAGCACACGGGAATTCCAGCCAGGTGAGTCAAAACCGGCTGTTGCGGCGAATCAGACGCGAGTTAACGAGGATCATCGCTTGACGCTCCGGTCTTTAGACTGACATGCGTCTTCCCGACAAGCGGTTCGGCCCAGGCTGTGTCTGAACGCTGTTTTGTGCCCGCCAAAATACGCCCGTGAGTTTCACCTCCAAGCAACATACACGAGTCCGTGACAGACCAAACCACTGCTGACACTGATCGGACGCGCCTCTTGTTCGCCCTCGCGGAGCTCATCACCCCAGCGAACTGAGCAGAGCCGGGCCACCGTGGTCCAGGTCCCGAGCGCACGCCGCCGCCCGGCCGGAGGGCGTCCGCGCCTGGCGGGCCGCGGGGCACGGCGCCGGCCGCCGGCCGCGGGGTACGGTCCGACCCGCCGGCGCCGCTCAGTCCGACATGTTGAACGTGTTGAGGAAGACGGCCGCCTGCACGTCCGGGTTGGGCCGGCGCCCGTTCACGGCCAGCAGCAGCGGCGTCTGCACGCGGATCAAGCGGAAAGAGGCCGCCTGCAACACCGGCCAGGGTCACACGCCGCCGGCAACTGCCACCAGCCGTCACCGAAGTAACAACGCGGTGTCGGGAGTCGCGGGGCGTGATACGGTGACTACGGCAGCTGCGAGGAATCATACACTGCCTGGTTTGCGCCATGCTAGTTGTCCGTGATAACCAGGGAGAGCGGCAGCACGCTGTCTGGAATGATCGGGAGGAAAACACACTAACGGATAGCAGCAGGCAGTAACACGTCACCCTTAGCGAAGACGAATGCAATTTGAACACTGCACCGTAGTGGCGGTTCTCTGTTACCCTTGTAGGATAATGAAGGGGAGGGGAACAGCAAGGAGTAATCCTTTCTTGGAAACATCCGAACTCCCGTTTAAACAAAGATGTCCGTCTGCAAAACCAGCACGTAGACCCTCGCAACATAAAACAACGGCAGCACATGTAAGCCGCAATCTCAAAAGTCCATCACAAGCGGACCGTAATCAGTGTTCCGCGGCCGAAGTACGTGTGCTTACGCTGAGCCACTACCTGGGCCTTGTGACGGGCTTATGCCGACACTGGACCGTTAGCCGCCTCTTGAGTCAGCGGACTGGCACTGAGCTGTTACCTGGGCCTTGTGCCGGACGTCCACCGAGACCAGGAGCGGCTCCGGGATCGCCACCGTGTCCCCGATGATGACACCCTTGCCCTCGGCCAGGTTGTAGACGTTGACGGCCAGACACGTGCCCTCGGAGTCCACCAGGCAGAATGTGCTGCCGCCCGACGGCAGCGGGGTGAGACGGAGTTGCGCGCGTGCACCGCAGCGAGCACCTCCGTGAAACGGAGGTGCTCAAGGAAAAGACGTGACAGAGCCAGACCCCGGCAGCTGACACGGCAGTCAGGTTCAGGCGCCGAAACGGCAGTGTCAGACACTGACAGCAGACACGACAGAGCCAGACACTGACAGCGGACACGGCAGAGCCAGACACCGACAGCAGACACGACAGAGCCAGACACCGACAGCAGACATGACAAAGCCAGACACTGGCAGCGGACACGGCAGAGCCAGACACCGACAGCAGACACGGCAGAGCCAGACACCAGCAGCAGACACGGCAGAGTCAGAAACTGTCAGCGGACACCGCAGAGCCAGACACCGACAGCAGACACGGCAGAGCCAGACACCAGCAGCAGACACGGCAGAGTCAGAAACTGTCAGCGGACACGGCAGAGCCAGACACCAGCAGCAGACACGACAGAGCCAGACACTGGCAGCGGACACGGCAGAGCCAGACACCGACAGCAGACACGGCAGAGCCAGACACCAGCAGCGGACACGGCAGAGTCAGAAACTGTCAGCGGACACGGGTGGAGCCCAGACGCTGACAGCAGACACGACAGAGCCAGACACCGGCAGCAGACACGGCAGAGTCAGACACCAGCAGCAGACACGGCAGAGCCAGACACCAGCAGCAGACACGGCAGAACCAGACACCGACAGCAGACACGGCAGAGCCAGACACTGGCAGCAGACACGGCAGAGCCAGACACCGGCGGCATACAGGACAGAGCCAGACACCGGCAGCAAACACGGCAGAGCCAGACACTGACAGCAGACATCTCAGAACCAAACACTGGCAGCAGACATAGCCAGGCAAGATGGCAGCAAAAATCGTCATGACCTGCACGTGGTAACAAACCCAGGTTGCAATGGCGAGTAGTGAACACAAAAAGATCTAACGTGATAATAGTCATCGCAAAAGAGCGCGATCGAAAATACAAGCCCGGGCTGCAGTCAGACAGTACAGATTACGACCCTTGCAACTGCGCTGCGGCCTAAACAGAGCGCCCGGGGTTCAGGCTCCTGGCTGCGTCGATGTTCACACATGCGTGGCCATCCAGGATAACGTGATTGTGCAGCGATCAGCTGATTCACCGATAGCTCGCCCCGCGCATGAATATGACGTCACACATGGACAGCTGATCCGCTGCTGAGCTGCAAACCGCAAACCAATGTGAAGAGCTCCAGCCCGGCCACATTCGCTTGCTCTGGCCTGCGCCACTGCCCGAGCACCGCCGGGCCGGGGGCGGCCCACTCACAATGGCACGTTGTCCTCGGCCGGCACGCTGCAGACCACCTTGCCGACCACCAGGCGGCCGCTGTTGCTGCCGGCCGCCAGCTCCGAGAAGGCGGTCAGCTTCAGCTTCACCTTGCGGCCGCCCACCATGCACTCGTCGGCGTACAGGCCGAGCCGCGGCTTCGACAGCTCCTGTCGGCGGGGGGCGGCGCTGACGGCCGGCGCTGCTGCGCGGGCGCCGCTCGCCCTCCAGCTGTACGCTGACCCCCCCCCCCCCCCTGAGCGCGGCCGGGGCCCTCTACCGTCTTGTTGCAGGTACAATGCTACGAACTGACTCGGTTTAAAAAAGAAAACCGGATGTTGCCAGGCATGATCACGCTTAGACAGGACAAAAGATAGGGAGGAGTGGTCCTTCTCTCCGCTTGCAGCAAAAGGGGCACGGATCAACGATTCGGTGCTATTTGTGTCTTCAAGAACAATACAAACAACACAAGCTGACTTCAGCCCTATATCACAACGCTTCTTTAATCCATCTGTTCGGCCCGTTCGACCCCGTCACGATTCGTACAACTCCTATCGCGTCAACTACTCACCCTACGGCCCGGCTTGGCCTACTGATATCATTTCGCCGCGAAGCGATCTATCGTCAAGTTTCCCGACAGTGAGCAAAGCAGCCAGACATGACACCGAAGCCAAACAAGCTATCTAACCACCTGAGTACACGGCAGCGCTCCATCGAAGTGGACACGCGCTCTACTGGAGTGGACTCCGCTCCACCCCAGTGGACACCACTCCTCCGTTGCTGATTTCCACACTCCAAAACCATCCCCCGCCGCCGCACAGCACGCCCGGGAGCAGCCACTGGCGCCTCACCTGCGTGAAGGCCAGCAGCTTCTTGTGCTTGAGCTTGCCGCGCGCGGCCACCATGTCGGCCACGCGCACCAGGTGGTCGAGCAGCGCGCGCTCGCGGTCGGCCGGCGGCGCCCAGGTCGGGTAAAGTTGCGCCGCCATGTCGAACGACGCCAGCGCCGCCTGGTACTGCTCTTCGTACTTCAGACACTGCCGGCCGGCCGGATGGACAAGGTCAGACTGCGAGGGGCCCATTATACAACGAGGGGCGAGCCAGACTTTGACGGGCGGGTCAGACTGTACGAGGCAGGTCAAACTGTAGGAGGCAGATCAGACTGCGGAAGCCAGGTCAGACTGCAGGAGGCAGGTCAGACTGCAGGAGGTGGACCAAAATGCGGGCGGTGGGTCAGACTGCGGGCGACAGGTCAGGTGATAGCTGCGCTTCGCTGCTGTAGTTCAAACACACACCCGAGCAGCGTCGGGCGGAGAAACGGCTGAGGGAAAATCCCAACACGGAAAGGCTAGGGGTGCAATACGGACAAGGTTTAGTTCCTTGCACCAATCAATAGGTGCCACACCACCAAGTAAAATGTATCTGGCCGTCTCACACCAGCACACAGTTGAAAGACATGTCCACTAACAAATGGTTCGAGCTATGAAAATGGGTAAAAGAATCTCGAAACGCGGCATAAATCACACATCACTGCGTGGACCAGCTCGGGTTAGGAATGGCGGGCATCAGGGGAACCTGATCATTCCGTCCACCTCGGCCACACCCCTCTCACCACAGCTCGGTTGTAGTGCAGCTCGGGGCTGGAGCGGGCGGCCGGGTCCTGCTCCTGGAAAGGCAGGACGGCGCTGGGTCAGGTCTCAACGAGCCACAGCTCGACCAGCCGCTCAGGGTTGTTGAGTGGCCAGCCTTCTCAACCGCGGTTGTGCCCACACACGCCGCTTGCTGCTGACGTCGATTACCGAGTGCGCAGTCCGCGGACTCGTGGACGCCGGGCCACGACCACGGCCCGGTCACACTCAACACGGAGGAGACCCGAGCCGGCGCCGCGCCCCGTGGGCGTCGACCGCGCCGCAGCCAACACAGCATGCTCACCGCTCGCTGATAGGCAACCAGACACTGCTTGAGGAGCTTGGGGTCGGGCTTGATGGCGAAGAAGCGGAGAGGTAGGCGTTGCCGAGGATCTGCCAGGAGACGCCGTCCTGCAGGTCCAGCTCCACGGCCTCCTTGGCCTTGAGCAGGCTCTCCTCGATGTGTCGGCTGCGCTCGGCCGGGTCGCCGGGCGCCGTCTGCCGCTGCACCATTGACAGCTGGCGCAGCGACACTGGGTTCTTGCCCTGGTGGCCGGGGGCGCCGTTAGTGGGGAGCCGAAGGCGCCAGTCGCGCCGCCGGCGTCCACAAACATGGCGTCATGGATCGCCAGCTATCCGCACGCACTCTTCACAGGAACCCGTAAACAGTTCAAAACAGTGCGTAAACAATACGTGACTATGCATTAACAGCGGGTACATAGGATATAGCTTAAACTTAATTACAGTAGCCGTACGCTTTCAGACCACAGTGGATCGTATGTTCTCTATATGCACCGCCAAAAAATAGTCCAAAAATGGTCCACACGCAATGCGCAAAAAAATACGCAAAGACAGCAAACAACGCCAAAAGCCCACATCTGCTGAAGTGCACGGGGATGGTGCAACGAGAAAGCGCGAGCAGCTAACATCCGCAGCCATTCAAAAGTCACCCAGGCAGCCCGTGAGCCGCGAGAACACGCCACCTGACCGGGACCGGCCCGCGGCCCGCACGCCCATGACCGGCTGCGGCGAAGGGGGGGGGGAGGGGGGGGGGGCGTGAAGGCCAGCTCACCGACTCCAGGGCGCGCGTGAAGCAGGTGCCGGCGGCGGCGGCGTCATCGCGCTTCCAGAGGCAGACGCCCAGCTCGTTCCAGGCGCCCGTGTGCCGGTGGTTGAGCTTGGTGGCGCGGCTCAGCAGCTCCTCCGCCTCGGCCGAGTGCTCGGGCTGGGCGTTGCGCGCCCGGCCCAGCAGGTACAGGTACTGCACGCGGTCCGTCTTCTCGGCCGCTTCTGCGGCGGAGGCCCGCCACGCCCCGGTGATCGCTCGGCGGCGGCCAACGCGACCTCGGTCACCGCGGTGTGAACGCACTCGCCAGGAAAATGCA